GCTATACAACGCACATAACTGTTACATAAACACAGACACAAACTGTTATATATATATATATACATATATATATATATATATATATATATATATATATATATATATATATATATATATCAAGGGAAGAGGTTATAGTAGTTCCAACGAGAGAAAAGTGTGTATATTAAAAAAGAAGAGAGAAACCTCAAACGTTTTTGGTAGTAATGTGGATTTTTTAAAAATATATATTTTGCTTTATTTTCCATCATTTTGCTACACGTGCTTCCGGTCTCGCGACCTTCATCAGGCAAAGCGTAGAGATTTTCACATATTATTAAAAATGATTAATTTCTTTATGTTTTTCGATGTTAGATATTCTCGATATTTTTTTTGTGTGTTAGTGACCCAAATATCTTCCTGAATTGGCAGTGAAACATTTCTGCTTGAAGGGTTATAAAAAAATTAAGATTGGTCCGAGAAATGGTGAACGAGCTGTGGGCATTCTTATCTTTTAATGCTATATCTTTTAGTGTTCTTAGATCTATTTCCGTTTGTTTTTATCAGCATGCGTATGTATACTTATATTTCCTCTCCATACATACACACTGTCTTATTATGAGGAATTAGTAAACACATTTGTACACATGCACAAATATGCACACATATATACACGCACACAAACACATACACACACTTCCTGTGTAGTGCCTGCGTGTGTGCCCGTGAGCAGTTTTGTTTATGCCAATATGTGTATGTGTGTGTGTGTGTCTATATATATATATATATATATATATATATATATATATATATATATATATATATATATATATATATATCAGCATGCGTATTTATACGGGTACATTATATATATATGATACCTACAAATATACACATATACACACATGCGTACATATACATATTTATTTATGTTCACTGGGCTATTATTTCGTTTTGTAATTGGGTTTGGCGATAACATAAGTATTAATTGTAGGTTAGATTTATAATTAAAATTATTTATTATTGGTAGAATTTCTGCCGTCCTGCTTGGCATTCACGCTGAAATCTCCAATACGAACAATTCAGATTGTTTGGGTGTCAATCTGGGGAGAGTGCTCAGGATTCAGAAAGAATTGGTTGAATCTAATGATAATTACGAAGGTATTTAGAGTGATCACTAGTGATGGGCAATCATATTCGCAGAGGGCTTCTAACTCAACACGGAGGCCTACATCAAATGCATTGAGGAGGTCAAGAAGGCGACTGCTGGAAGACCCTATGTCTGGAACATGATTCTGAACCCATGCAACACAAGCAAGAGTACACAGTCGTGGATGTCAGACAATATCTGCGCCCACATCAGACCTTACATCTGGTCACCTAACTCCCCAGACTGCAACCTTCTTGGTGTGTGGGGTGCAGGTGAGCGAAAAACAAAAAAAACTCCCCGTAACAACAACGATGAACCGAAGGCAAAGCTTATGGCAGTATTCGGCAATTTAAACAAGGAGTCAGTCCAGAAGAGATGCAGTAGATTCCGAAGTCGTCTGGGGGCCATGGTTGAAGCCAATGCCGGTTTTATTGAATAAATCTATTCTTTAGTATTTCAAGATATCTTTTGCGTAATTTTGCTATATATATATATATATATATATATATATATATATATATATATATATATATATATATAAATTCTGTAAAAATGAAAATAACACTGATATGTCATTTTAACAGATTATATATAAATATATATATATATATATATATATATATATATATATATATATATGTGTGTGTGTATCTATCTGTTAAAAATAAGATGTCAGTTTTATTTTCATTCTTATATAAATTTTGTAAAATGAAAATAACACTGACATCTCATTTTAACAGATATATATATATATATATATATATCTATATAAAATGAGATGTCAGTTTTATTTTCATTTTACAGAATTTAGACGACTATTTATCTATCTCACCCTTTATCTCTCTCTCTATATATATATATATATATATATATATATATATATATATATATATATATATATATATATATCACTTAGAACGTTAATTTTAGTGAATAATCAAAATGAGTGGACGTACAATTCATTTATTAAACAGTATATTTATTCATATTCGTTTACCGGCCTGAATATTCGAGATATCTTATTAAAGAAAAATACGCGTTCTCTGGCAGGATTCGAACCTGCGCCCCTCTGCCGGAGAGTGTATATTTTCTTTAATAAGGCTTCTCAAATATTCAGGTTGTTTGACGAAAATAACTAAATATACTGTTTAATAAATAAACGGAACTTCTAATTAAATATGAGTAACCACAAAGAATAACAATTAAAAGTGATAAAAATCTGTTGGATTGATAAATAAAAAATAGAAAAAAATATATATAAAATAATGGTTTTCCTCCATACAAAAATATTTAATAAACATAAGATCTATGGGTTGCAAATTAAATTCCTGGCACTGGGAATGCATTCTCCATATTGCAGTTTTCAAGTCACGCCTAAAGTAACGCTGTAGTGCGGTGTCATGCAGACATCTGTAATTTCGGCACGAGTACTAATATACTATTTATTGTATTCGCAACAATGTTTTCTAATTCGCTTCTTCAGTTGGTGGTATCAATATTTGCAGCAGTGACGATTACCATTCTTTGCACTCAATAATATCTTGTCCAGACAACCCACGGGGCACGGTGATGCGTTTACACACCATTGATTAATTCTTTCTTTTGTTTTCTTTTTTTTTTTTTTTTTTTTTACTGGTGCCGTCTTAGTCGATTTTGTTTTGACTGCTACTGCACAGCAAACCACTCAGGTCTTTCGTCGGCTCTTGGATACGCCACCTGCGGACAAATGTCTAGCTTTTGCCACAGCCTGCCAATTCTCTTCAACGGGGCGGCCCACACCCTGCACTAATACTTCACTCACACGTACGCTAATACTAAACACGCCCTCCAAATCAACGCTAACTACAACTTAAGCTCGGATTTCTCATCGATGATGATGACGTTTTCTCGATCTACGCGAACTTGCCTACTCACTTCCGCCACACCAAGAATAGCTTTCGATCATCGCCCTGCTTTGTAATAATCTTTTATTTAAGATAGAAAGAAAAGAAACTGAAAACAATAATTGCTTCTGAATGAAGGGAAATTATATATATATATATATATATATATATATATATATATATATATGTGTGTGTGTGTGTGTGTGTGTGTGTGTGTGTGTGTGTGTGTGTGAAAATATATAGAAAATAGGAAAGAACTCTTTAGGTAAATAATCCAAAGTTCTTTAGTATTTTTGTTATTATTTTTTAAAAAACAGTGCTCGATACAAAAGTGGAGCCTAAACATAATTATTTATTTAAAAATATGATTCCATCGCTACATAAGAGTTCTCATGTTTCAAAACAAGAGCCGAAAACTTCAATATAATTATTTGAATTAAACTGAATTAAAAGTAGCATCTCTCTCTCTCTCTCTCTCTCTCTATATATATATATATATATATATATATATATATATATATATATATATATATATATAGTTATCGTTTGGAAAAACCTTAGGTATTTTGGCTTGTAATTGAACAAACCAATGGCCAAGGGAAAATAGGGGATAAAAAAAGAAAGAACTAAGACCATAAAATTGAGGCGAAAACAATCGTCCAGAATTCAAGCTCCAAAAGAAAAAAAACTCCTAAACGAGTAAAGTAAAAGTAACCACGTAAAGTGCTCAAATAAGTAGAGTAAACCTAAAATGAATTTAAAGCCAGGTAAACCTATTTAGGTTTCACCTATACGGATCTTCAGGGTCAACTGGCCAGTTGACTCTAGCGAACCGTATAGGTGAAAACTAGGTTGGTTTACCTGGCTCTTTTAGGTTATATATATATATATATATATATATATATATATATATATATATATGTATTAGAAGAAAAGGATTAAATCCGACAATTATTTTATATATTTTCTGTTAAAACGTTATTTATATAGCTACAACTTATTTTAATAAATGATTTTTTTTTTAAATTGAACAATATCAATTACATTTAACGGCCTGATATCGAGAAATTTCGTATAAAATATGGGTTCTCCGACAGGAATCACACTTGCATCTCATAAGGAAACCGTCGTATACCCTGACGAGCTGTTAAGCATTCAGCCACAGAGAACGCCCTGTTACCAAAGTCCAAATGATTGATTACAAGCATACAACTTTAAAGAAAGTGTAGAAAATGCATATTTATTATTAAATAGGAACAATGCATATTTAATCATACTTATTATAAAACCCAGGTTATATGTGTGTGTGTTTCTGTTCGTTTATATATTGTATCGGATTTCCTACATTTTTCAACAGATTTCAACAAAACTTCACAGGACTACGTAAAATTACCTTGCGGTGGTTCTGACAGCGCCAAAAATTGGAAAAACACAATTGTTTTTGCACGAAATCAATTTGAAAACACAATTAAGAGGCATCGCTGTCGCCAGAATGAAAGGGGGACAACTCATATCAAGTTATACTTATTATAAAACCCAGGTTGTTTGTGTGTGTGTGTGTGTGTGTGTGTATGTTCGTTTATATATGGGATCGGATTTCCTACATTTTTTAACCTATTTCAACAAAACTTCACTTTTTTTGGCAGGTAGTGTTCTTATTGTATTTTTCTTTATTTTTACATTCAGAATGCTTTTAAAATTCCATTTACAAGACGATTGTTTATAATAAAATTCTATTCAATCGGTAGACTCATAACGATTGAAAACAATGTTTTTGTTTGAGTTTGGGTTTGACCAATTCGTAAAAAAAACAACAACAAAAAAAAAGACATGCGTATCCGTCAACCTTAAACAATAGTCTTTGTCAATTTCATTTTTCAGTCTTTATGATGGTCGATACTTGATCTATCTCTTACTGTTACATCCCCGGGCAACGTCGGGCTCTACTGCTAGTATGAACAAAACATATTATTTATTTATATCTATCTCAGTCTATTCATATCTATCTATCTATCTCAGTCTATTCATATCTATCTATCTATCTCAGTCTATTCATATCTATCTATCTATCTATCTATCTATCTATCTATCTATCTATCTATCTATCTATCTCTATTTATCTATTATAAATTTTTATATACGGACGAATTACAAACAATTACTCACAAAAAGGATGCACATTTTTCCGAGGCAGGCGAGATGCTTCCGCATCGAAACAAAAATGCATCTTTGTCGTGAGTAACTGTTTTTGTCTATGTTAAAATTTATAATAAATAATTACTGCTCTACTCTGGGTATTGAGCTCTCCTTTGAATTAATGCTGTGAACGTTTGAAATTTATATTACTTTCCTTCACATGACATTTATATATATATATATATATATATATATTTGGTCACCAAAATATCTTTTAAACATGTTTCGTTAAATATGACAAAGAAAATTTGTTTAGTTTTTTCCACCGTTCTTATATATATATATATATTATCATATTAAGCGTTATTTTTAGTGGACTGCAATGAGTAGATGTTCCGTTTCATTTTATACAGTAGTTTTTTCCGGCCTGAATATTCGAGAAATGTTGGTAAAGAAAAATCCGCCTTCCGGCAGCATTCGAACCTACGTCCCACTTTGCAGAGGAAACCTTTAACCAACTCGAAAACTAAGAGCGTCGCGATTTTATATATATATTTTATATTTATATATATATATAAATATATATATATATATATATATATATAAATAAAAAGAAAGAACAGTAAGATATAAAATCCGGTGTTCTCATAGATATTTTATTTTACAAAATAGTGCTCAATGTAAATTTACAGAGCATTAATATTATAAATTAATTGATTTAAAAATGGTTTCTTTCGCTACACAGTTCAACCATGTTTCAAAAATTCAAGCTAAAAAGATGAAATTTAATTTTGCAATTAAATTAAAAAAATTAGTTTCATTTCATTTTAGGCAGGGAGATGAAATGGAACTAAACTAAATTAATAGCAAAAAAAAACCATATTTTAAATCATTTAATTTATAATATATATATATATATATATATATATATATATATATATAATAAAAGCGATTTAAATATATATATATATATGTATATAATAAAAGTGATTTTTATATATATATATATATATATATATATATATATATATATATATATAGAGAGAGAGAAAGAGGGAATTTATAAATGCTAACCTTTTTTGTTGCTGTCTGCTTTTCTTCCTGTTCATTTTCATTTCTTTTTATTAGTCTCGTTTCTTTTCAGTCTCTGTGAATCGGATATGAGAACATTAGACGAGTGGCAATTCGCGCTTCCGCCAATGTGATCGTATATTTACATTTCGCAGAGTATAGCTTTCACCTCGCACAATCATTTGAAACCAATATAAGAACAAAGGGCATTAAATAACGCTATTTTAATATAATCCCCGTTGTTCATATAAAACCTGGACACGGCTATTTCTCTCAAAATCAAATTCGAAGAATAAAAATTTCTCTATCAAGTTGATTTCTAAAAAACGTAACCGTCTGTCTGTCTGCATCTATCTATCTAACTATCTTAGTCGGTTCCTATCTATCTATCTATCTATCTATCTATCTATCTATCTTAGTCGGTTCCTATCTATCTATCTATCTATTCAATTTCGAATCTATCTATCTATCTATCTATCTATCTATCTATCAAGTTCGATCTATCTTCTATCTAAATCTATCTATCTGTCTATCTGTTCTGCATCTATCTATCTATCTATCTATCTATCTATCTATCTATCTATCTATCTATTAGTCGGTTCCCTATCTATCTATCTATATCTATCTATCTATCTATCTATCTTAGTCGGTTCTATCTATCTATATATCTATCTATCTATCTATCTATCTTAGTCGGTTCCTATCTATCTATCTATCTATCTATCTATCTATCTATCTATCTATCTATCTATCTTAGTCGGTTCTATCTATCTATCTATCATATCTAATGAGAACCGGAATCTATATCTATCATGGTTTCTATCTATCTATCTATCTATCTATCTTTATTCAATCTTCCTATATCTATCAATTTGGAAGAAAACTATCGTTTTATTCAACTTCCTATATCCAATTTGGAAGAAAACTATCTATCCAACGTCCTGGGTATGACGATAAACTACATCCGCGTCCTAGGTAAGACGATAAACTACGTCCAACAGCAAGACTTCTGATCAGATGGTTTTGAGGAACGTGGAACCACCTCTTAATTGCTAGTGTTCCCAGGTTCACCGTGACCCGGGGTGGTAACGCCTGGTAGATTCCCAGCTATGGGCAAATAATTAACACCCAAACTTGTGTAAAAATAGGTTTTAATACCAGAAATACTTTGTAATAAAAAAAATTATTACCAGGAATTATTCTTAAAGTAAAAATTATTATCAGCAATACAAACCAAAAAATACCAGCAATACAAACAGTTATACATTCTTTGAAAAAAATAGGACTAGCTATGGATTTCTTCAAGGAAAAATATTCCCAGAAATAGATTTTTGAAGGAATGCATATTACCAGCAATAAAAATTGTGTCAGCATTAGATAACCCATTGAGGTTGATATGCCGTAAAATAAAAACAAAACCAAAATATCTATCCAAGTTCAATCCTATCTACAAACGTAACAGTCTGTCTGCCTGTCTCTATCTATCTATCTATCTATCTATCTATCTATCTATCTATCTATCTATCTATCGTTGCACCGCTTATTGAGAACACGAAACACATACAAGGCAGTGCGTTTTATTCAATTTTGGTTTTCATCAAGAATTCATTGTCACCCGGTAGGAGCACGGGTCTGTGTCCATCTCTGAACGTGGATTCTGTATCTCATTAGGACACAAGAGTTTGTGACGTTTCCCTCTTGGGTGGATGCTTATATATCTACTTATCACATTCCGTTTCTCACGCGTGTGCAACTTTGAAGCCACTCAGTTCACCAGGGAACGAAATATAAAAGGAAACAAATATAACTTTCAACAATGACTGGAAAAAGTTAGTAAGGAGACGAAGATTATTTAGGGAGAGAAAGGATAAGACTTTGCGGAGAGTCATAATCTTTCAGGTACTAAAGGGAAACGCACATAGAAGAAAGAAATTTTAATCGGTACATCGGGGTTGACTGTTCCTTTTCCAGAAGATAGCATTTATGGTAATTGAACATTTCATCATATTAAAGCGTAGTCATTATTCATTCATCAAGGTTGTTTTCATGTTCTACAAGCATCAAAACCAATATGCAAGGAAATCTATTAAAGCGAATATAATATTCGTAATTCTCTTATATCCCTCAATTCATTAAATTATCATCTCTACAGATCCTGGCACAGACTCAAATTCTTGGCCGGCTCTCGGACAATCGAGGCCGTCATCTTAAAATGTCAGTAAAGGCAAGAACTAGAGAGCGGGTAGTTAGCTTCCTTGTTCATGACTTCTCAAGCAAGTGCCTTGTTATCAATTGGAACGTAATCTATTGGCCGAATAAACTTGGTACGATAGAGTACAAACAGAGCCAAAACATTGACGTTGAGTGTATTGAAACGACAACTGAATTTTGGCTCCGTTTCAAAGAACCGTCTCAATAGTTTCGGGGCAAATATTGAGCAGTATTTAATTTGTACGCAAAGGTTTTCCTTTCCCGATTCAACACTGGGTTGAGCTGCGTCTGCTTGAGTGCGAAACAGAAACTAGGGCGTGGACATATTTAAATGCAAATTAGGCATTTTTTGCGGAACCGGAAGTGTTTTGTTTATTTATTTATTTATTTTTTTACAAAAGAAAAAGGAATAAACAAGTTGAGGAAAAATAAAACCAACAACAAAAAAAAAAAGACAAAAACAAAACAACTAATTTTGAATTTGTGGGGAAAACTGTGAAAATGGCCTACCTCGGAAACGCCCGCGAATCTGTGCGTCGTGCAAACTCCGATTGCTCAACGGGGAAAAGCACCAAAATGGCGGCGCCCATGTTTTATGCCGGGCGGTCTCGGACAGTTATCGCAAAATCTCGTTGTCCCGCCATTCGCATGCAAATCATGGCCGGTCCTCGGCTGTATAAAGCAGGCGCGTTTTTTGTTTCTGTGGACTGAGTTTTTTTTTTGCTCCTGAAAAGGTTGGACGTGTGACACTATTTTGTCGGTTACCCTCCTCGCGTTTCTTATCTGCTATTATCAGTTGAGCCGTTGCTTTACCACCACAGTATTTTATATCATTTACACTATTTACATTATTCGGACTATTGTCCTCATCTTTGTCGCCCGGCTTATCACAACGTTTCAAGGACACATGACACAGTGGATAAAGGCGTTAGCTAGATCCAGTGACAGAATCCAAAGAGTGTGAGTTTAATACCTGGTTAAGGCCGTGGAGAACTTGGAAAAGGGAATTAACAGGAGATAACTGACATCCATTGGAACTAGAACAGTCTACCCCAGTGAGCGAAATAAAGAGTTCAGTTCGACATTCCAACCACCTGAAGAAGGCCGGAGCGTAGAACGGCCAAAACGTTGTGATAAACATGGCGACAAAGATGAGGACAATAGTCCGAATAATGTAAATAGTGTATATAATACCTCATCTCAGAAATATAGACAGATACTTAATATCATTTATATTATTTAAAATCATCATCTTTGTTTTTAGTATCATAACGTTTAAGCCATATTGTCTTCCGACCTTTTTCAGATGTCTGTCGATCAGTGTAACCTATATATCTTACATAACTTATATTCGGTATTTCATTACTGTAGAGTATAAAATTATGCTTAGAAAAAATTATTGAAGTGTAGTTTAATCAGAGTAGGGATAAGATAAGTGAACATTTAATTTTAATTATTAATTTTTAATTCATGTTCTATCCCAAATTACAAAGACTACACTGTTTAAAACTGTTATCTTCTTTAAATACTCAGGTAGTTTTTCTTTCGAAAGGTAATCTTAAAAAATCGAAAAATTATTCCGGCCACCACTTTTAATTCAGGCGATTCCGTTTATTTGAAATCAAGTGTAGCCAGATTCAGGTTCAGTCATTGTATGTTGAATTCTCTTTCGCAGTAATGCCTTTGGAAAATATATGAATACTTCACTTCTACGACCAGCTTTGGGCTAAATAACGAGGTAGGCTCACTAGACTCGGGTGACAAGCAGCCTAAGAAAAACTTTTAATACAAAACCCTGGAGAAAGGGAAGCCACTCAACTATCTATTACGACGAATAATGACGATTCCCGGATATTAAAATGAAGGAAGATGTGGAGTGTCATGATCACGTGGAAAGACGGAAAAGTCATATCACAGACACTACTGGATTTCAGTGAGAAAATCAGAGAGAGAGAGAGAGAGAGAGAGAGAGAGAGAGAGAGAGAGGTGTTTAACTTCTCTTGCCGATACTCCGTAAATAATAGACGATCCTCTTTTGATGACATGGAAAGACGGGGAAGAGACTACTTAGTACAAGTGAGAAAAACGAAGAAAGAAAGAAAGAAAGAAGGGAAGATAATTGCTTAACGTCTCTTGCCAGTACCTTCTAAATAATGGATTAGTCCGTTTTGATCACGTGGGAAAGACGGAAAAGACATATAATAGCGACTACATGGTTTCAAGGTGGAAGGAAGGGAGAGTGAAGAAAGAAAGAAAGAAAGAAAGAAAGAAAGAAAGAAAGAAAGAAAAAGAAAATGAACACTAAAAAAGGAATGGAAGAAGTCCAAAAAGGAAATTTGAATAGGAAAGAGGGAAGAAAACAGATAAAAAAAAGAAACAAAGCAGAAGAATGAACGCGAAATAAGGAAGTAAAGATTGAACAAGACAAAAGAAAGAAACAAAAAGAAATATGAATAAAAAAGAAAGAAAGAAAGAAAGAAAGGAATAGGGCAAATGAGCACGAAAGGAGCAAATGAAAAAGACCAAAAAAGTAATATGAATAGGAAGGGTGGAAAAATTAAAAGAAAGAAAGAAAGAAAGAAAGAGGGAAAATGAACACGAAAGACGGAAATGAGGAAGGCCAAAAAATAAATTTGAATAGAAAGGAGGGAAGAAATTAGATGGGAGAAAGAAAGAAAGAAAGAAAGAATGGAAAAAAATTTGAAAAAAAAGAAAGAAAGAAAGAAAGAAAAGAAAGAAAGAAAGAAAGAAAGAGGGAAATGAACACGAAAGACGGAAATGAGGAAGGCCAAAAAATAAATTTGAATAGAAAGGAGGGAAGAAATTAGATGGGAGAAAGAAAGAAAGAAAGAAAGAAAGAAAGAAAGCGAAAAAAATTTGAATAGGAAGAAAGAAAGAAAGAAAGAAAGAAAGAAAGAAAGAGAGAAAATGAACACGAAAGACGGAAATGAGGAAGGCCAAAAAATAAATTTGAATAGAAAGGAGGGAAGAAATTAGATGGGAGAAAGAAAGAAAGAAAGAAAGAAAGCGAAAAAAATTTGAATAGAAAGAAAGAAAGAAAGAAAAAAAAGAAAACACGAAAAACTAAAAGGGAAAAATGAACACGAAAAAGACGGAAATGAGGAAGGCCAAAAAATAAATTTGAATAGAAAGGAGGAAGAAATTAGATGAAAGAAAGAAAGAAAGAAAGAAAAAGAAAAGAAAGAAATGAAAGCCAAAAAGAAAGAAAGAAAGGAAAAAAATTTGAATAGAAAGAAAGAAAGAAAGAAAAAAATTTGAAAGAAAGAAAGAAAAGAAAGAAAGAAAGAAAGAAAGAAAGAGGAAAATGAACACGAAAGACGGAAATGAGGAAGGCCAAAAATAAATTTGAATAGAAAGGAGGGAACAAAATAGATGGGGAGAAAGAAAAAAAGAAAGAAAGAAAGCGAAAAAATTTGAATAGAAAGAAAAGAAAGAAAAGAAAGAAAGAAAGAGAGAAATGAACACGAAAGACGGAAATGAGGAAGGCCAAAAAAATAAATTTGAATAGAAAGGAGGAAGAAATTAGATGGGAGAAAGAAAGAAAGAAAAAAGAATGAAAGAAAGAAAGAAAGAAAGAAAGCGAAAAAAATTTGAATAGAAAGAAAGAAAGAAAGAAAGAAAGAAAGAAAGAAAGAAAGAAAGAGAGAAAATGAACACGAAAGACGGAAATGAGGAAGGCCAAAAAATAAATTTGAATAGAAAGGAGGGAACAAAATAGATGGGAGAAAGAAAGAAAGAAAGAAAGAAAGAAAGCGAAAAAAATTTGAATAGAAAGAAAGAAAGAAAGAAAGAAAGAAAGAAAGAAAGAGGGAAAATGAACACGAAAGACGGAAATGAGGAAGGCCAAAAAATAAATTTGAATAGAAAGGAGGGAACAAATTAGATGGGAGAAAGAATGAAAGAAAATGAGCAAGCAAGCAAGCAAGAAAGAAAAAAAGAAAGAAAGAAAGAAAAAAGAAAGAAAGAAAGGAAGGAAGTGTTTAATGTTTCTTTCAATGAGATGGAAAAGTTATCAAATTGTACCCTCTTATTTCTTAAATAACGACCAACATTCTTATTTATGATTGCTATCGCAATATTTCGTTAAAGTTGCTAAGCTCAAATATTTAATGCGGTAGGGGAATTCTACGGATATTTTGTTGTCATAGAACTCGTAATGAACTTATTAAATCATTAACAAAAGAATTAAGATTAACCAGAAAATGAAAATAGGAAAACTGTGAAGTTATCACGGGTATCACTAGTTAATAATAATAATAATAATAATGTTGGACAATGTTGTAATCCGATAGAAATTAAAATGAATAATACAGTG